AGAGGCCAGCGGCACATACCCAGCAAAAATTAACCCAAGTACCCCCGTTGTATCATTTACGTAAACGTATACATGTTATGAACAAAATTAAACGAGTGCGATGATCTTAATATGTTTATCGCACGCCTGACTTCGACGCACCTTGATTTGGAAACACTGACGTAAAAGTATTGTTTCTATTTGAAAGGGGGATTTGTAGTATTGACAACGTCGACTTTTTCCCATTTGTAACTGCGGTTTCGGTATTTGGCTAAATTTTGATTTGGTATTGCGGTATTCTCGCGCTAACATGTGCGGTATTGCGGTATTCGTACTCCCTTTACGCCCCCCTCCATAAACGTCGTCACGTGTTGTTGGTATTCAGTATAGTCAATATGTTAAATAAACCTTCCTAAGATTGCTACTTTTTGAAGTTGTCCGCAGTGCCGAAGCTTCTTTTGCGGTCCTCATCGCTGGAAACAAACTCCTGTGTGTCGTCAGCTTTATAGAGACAGTTCTGTTCTCAGCTTGTGACCATTCAACATTACTACTTGATTGCTAAACCTTTCGTCACCCATCCTGGATCGAAGCTACGTCTTCAGAAGCCGTACGTACAGATGAGAATGAACCCTTGCCAGCAGCGCTGGTAGTAGGATCTACAGCAAGCAGCTTACAGATTAGTTTGGACTTCCTGAATTAGCTTCTTTTCCGGTTCTGGAATCTTTAACAAGCTTTAACTTCACCAACAGGATCCCACTCTTCCATAGGTCAAAGTCCAATAATTCCACGGGAATTTTTTCCATATCAACTGGAATCCTATAATATAAATCCCAGCAATAAAAGTGGTAGGCTATAGCCGCGTTCCCTGCTTAGTAGTATCGTAGTTTAAATATGAATGATTAAGACTTGATGAAGCGAAGCATTGGCAGCCTTGCTGTCACATTCACACACACAGAGCATTCTTGCATTGTTTTTGAAGTTCATCAAGAGGGTACTCGGATTCAGGCACTAGAAAAAAAAAACAAGCTAGTATTAAACGACAGACAAATCTTCTCAACATTGTCTTAATTTTCCCTAAATTGTTTATAGTAATCTTCAAGAATATCGATATCATAACATGTTTCAAACGGTTTAAGCATTCTCTCAGCCGATTTTGGTTAGCGGAGTCGATATTAAGACGACCAACAAATGCCAGATCCACATCAACAAAGCACTATTTTATTAAACTTAGTGTCTTGTTAAATAAAGTAGGCGGCAAAAAACTGGCAGACAAACTTTCACATATCATCTTGTGCCTATATTTGTTGTGTAGTCGACGGAAAGTAGTTGTTATGAAGGAAACAATATTGTTATGGACCTTTTTATCGATACGGCGGCAATTTTGAATTAAATGAATTTAAAAGGCTGTTATGGGATGCCCAACAGGTACGGGTGGGTGTATTGACGACTTTGCAAAATGCTTTCTAGACATAGGATTCCTGTGGAGGCGATTTTTAGGCTATTGTTTAGGTTTGAAAATGATCATCAGTCTCTCGGAAAATATTTTGAAATTTAAATCATCTTTCGGGAAAATGACATTGCTATGAGAAAGGTGCTTCTTTGGCAAAATACATACCCTCTGGGGTATGCTTATGCAACACGGCCTCCGTATCACTAGCCTGAGAAAATAGCCGACATTTGGAACGCTACCACTGGTTTCCCCGCAAATGACGTCTGAGAAGTGAGCGAAGAAATTCCATACTGATGACACGTCATTACCCAGATCTAGGTAGTGCTTCTGATTGGTTGTGTCGCGTAGAAAATTTGATTTAACCAATCAGAAGCACTACCCAGATCTGGGTAATGACATGTCATCAGTATCGAATTTCTACGCTCGTTCCTCAGATGTCATTTGGCGAGGAAACCAGTGGTAGCGTCGCCAAATGTCGGCTGTTTTCTCAGGCTAATAGGTTAGGTCAAGGAGACGTTTTTAAACATGAGCTTTGGAATTTTACTGTGCAAATTCTTACTACATTGACGACATCGATTGTAGCGATAAACAGAATAAAACGTTGGCAAACTTGAGCAAATACTAGCGGCAAAACTAGAATCAAACTTGCCCACAAGGTCTTCATTATTCTTGTCCAGAGGAACAGCAAACTAATCTGCGCTATTTCCCTGTTCGTGGTGCATATGCACCCAGAAGGCGCAAGGGAACGCACGAAGCAATCGGCTATAAAGAAGTCCAAATAGCTTTTTAAAAAACAAAAAAAAGACTCAAGCTAACTAGTCGCGTGGTGTAAAAGTGGATCCATGAAAAGTAGACGACGACAATGCAACAAAACAGAGTTTTCTTAAAAAAGGCAAAACACTACCTCTTTCTAGTCCGGTTTCTGGACAAATTGAGCATATCCGCGTTCCAGTTTACAGCGTTCCGTTTATACTAGACGAATTTAAAGTCGTCTGTAAAGTGCTTTCGTTCAGATGTAAAATTAACTTGAGGACGTTCTTAAAGTCGTCAAACGTAGCATAAAAACGGCCAATCCCAATCCATCTGTTAGCAGACTAAAGGCGGGGGGGAGGAAGGGGGTAAACAACAAACCTGTAGGGGAGGCTCCGCCCCGAGGTCCAACCCCACACCCTTTTATGTACCATTCTATATACCTTCTATTGTCAAAATATCCCTTTCACATACCTAGTTTAGAATTTCGCATCCCTTTTAACTGCTGTAAATGCGCCGTCTTTTGGATATGAATTAATCACAAAACCAGAGCGTTTTCTCATTCCTTCACAGCCATAAAATTCATCTGTTATCCCTTTTGGACCTTTTTAAAGACCAAACTGACAAATTTTCCCACCCTTTCATATACTCCAGCTATTAAAATCCCCTTCTTTTTCATATACCTCTTGTGAAGCCTCAAAAACAGGCCATTAGGCCATTATAAGACTCAGTAGAACTAAAATAGATTTCTTCCTGGCTATAGCCTGCCCTAATCCTCCATACCCACACCAGCAGCCATAATCATAATAATCCCACATGCTTCGATTTGTGGAATGCTAGATCATGTTTCCAAACTTCAACAGGTTACGAGCTTAAAACAATTAACAATTTTAGTTAGATATTTAGTTTGAGTTTCGTGCTCCTGATGTGATATTGACTATCTTGATTATCACGTCTCCAGAGTCCAGTCGAGCACTTTGCAAAGCAATTTAGAGCATTCATCACTATAAAATAACTAAGATAGTACGCACGTTCTCATCAGTTAAAAAAAAAAAGGATTATTGTGCCGGTAAACTCATAAAAAACTTTAAATTATTTTACAATTAAGCAATAGACTACACTTTCTGTGGGTTTACCGGCGTGATAACCGAATTGGGATGTTGGGAGACCACTCGAGAAGCTTGTAAATTACTCGCCTTCGGCCAGTGATTTACAAGCATTTCTGGTGTTCTCCCAACACCCCTCGCGGGTTATCACGCCGGTAAACCCATAGAAAGTGTGGTCTATTGCTTAAATAAAAGGTTATAGCGAGCTGTTATCTTGATGGTTTATTTCTAACAGATTTTGGTTATAGACTAGTTCACGTTCTTGGGTGCGAGATGGGTAATCAGGGCAAGGTTAAGAGATGTGTACACAATACCGAATGGCTTTTCATGTGGACGTGAACGGCTATCCGGTTAAGTATGAACTCCTTCCTGTTCACACTGCGTTAACGAGTGTCACATCAACCTTGGCCCAGTTGTTCGAACGCCGGTTAGCGCTAACCCGGGGTTAAGTTTTAATCCGGGTTTCCTTATCTTTTTATCAAAAGCACTCTTGGATCTATTCTTTTTAGAGTATCCAATCATCAAATTGTACTGTAAATCCTTTTTTGCCACCAAAAAGCCAGCGCTTTTCGTTACTAGTGGGCTATATTGAACTGCTAACAGTCGCGATACGCTGATTGGTGGATTTGAATCGACGCGCATACCTCAAATGCCTTTGGTTGAGAATTTTGCACCAGCCATGTTGAGAGTGGTGTTGCAACTTCAGGATCGCTTTTCTCGAGAAATTTTGGAAGGACTGAGCTCTCATTCGGATAGGGCATAGATGCATATCTAGTGGATCGGAAGCCGGTATTTTCGAGGTAAGATATCAAACAGTTTGGTGTCAGTTCCAGCTTAAATTGGACTGGGTCACTCGCCAGCGGCTGATTGCTGCCTGCCTTGTCTCCTTCTTTAGTTCTAACCGCCGAGGTCAAATATTCATCTCGCAAAATAGCGCTTAAAACAGCACGGGACGGCGAAAAAACATGACACATGACTCATTTAACATTTTTTTCAAACTTTTATTCAAAATTTGCTTTAAATTCTGCATTTTGGAACAAATTGTAGCCACCGTATTGTTCTTATGTATTTCTTCTGTAAATAACAAAAGATCGTTGCTCAGATTTCAATCAACAAAGGCCCGCACTAACAGAGGGTGGTCTGCCTGTTGTTTGATGGTATGTACCTCATGTAAGACTTCATATAATGTCGTAAGCCATTCCTATATCATTATCTGGGGGCTGGGTCGATTTGGGAGGGGGGGTCCGTTGATATTCGAGTAGTGCGTTGATATTCGGGTAGTGCAAAAGAGAGAGTCTCCAGATTTTAAATCTGCAGAGGTTGGCATCTAATTGGTGATCTGGATCTGGTAAAATCTCTGAATCGTTTTTATCCCGAGATAATTGATATCGATGAGTTTCCTTTTGTCAGCAATTCAACTAATTAGTTCTGTTTTTGCTGTTGAAAATTATGCTTCATTTCCGTCGTCGTGGTTGCTCATACTGATTGCGTTTCCGCCTCGAAAAGCAATTCCTGAACCACGTCCGCAGGTACCCACAGAGAGACTCAACCTTTTAGATACATAAAGAATGAAGAACATAAAATATTGAGTGACTTTTAATGCTTTCTTTTCGATTGCTCAATACTTTTCCTTTGACAGATTAACCAGAACTAATAGTGTTCCTAGCTGAAAAGAAGCCTTCTCTAATGCTTCTTAATACGTAAAACTATTCACTTCATTTGCACGTTGATTTCGGATAGTTCTTGTTTTTCTCATTGAATTTTGAATCGTACTTCTTAAAGCATTTTGCAGCCTCGGCATCACATTCGCACAGCTTCTTCTGAAAGCAAGAATTCCAAGGGCTTCCCTCTACAATAGAAAAAAAGGAAAACATAATGTTCAAGTTCGAAAATACGGCAAAAACAGCTACATTATGCACGCTGCCATAATTTGCGGCGTGACTTATATCCTTGTGCAGCCACAAGAGCGTTTTACTTTTGCAAACTGCATACACCCCACAACATATGATACAACATGTTGATGTCAAATTTTCAGGGCAAAACTTACAAAGTTAACGTCTTATGCTACTGATTATTGTTTTTATTTTAAATTATTGCTGTGGTATTATTAAAATAAGCAAGAGCTGCAAAATTCTATAAGATTTAAGCCAATACAAGATTGTTAGAAGTTTATTAGTTTGGGTGGGTTGATTACATCAAATTAAGGGTTGGAAACTGATGTGTGCGAAATAAGCGCATTCGATTCACTATACGTTCAACTCATTTTGTACTGTAAGGCAGTTGCCATATATGTTTGTTTATTTGTTTGTTATTGTTGTTGTTTTCTTCATTTTCGAGGGGGTTGCGGGGTCTTATTAATTGTCAGTGGTTTAACAATTATTCTTTGAGCCCGAACGAGCTGTGAGTCAATAGCCCATGAGACCGAACGCCGAATGGGCATTGACTCAGCGGCCATGAGGGCGAGAGGAATAATTGTTTTAGTAAAATACAACTAGTTGGTCAAAAATATCGGGACAAAACAACTTAAGCATGCAAAACAAGATTCAACCGCCATTGTTTTGGTTTCAAAGCCGGCGCTTTTCGCTACTAGTGGGCTATAACATATAGCCTAGTAGTAGGTCGACCAATCAGAACGCAGCATTGATAATAGACCACTAGTTGGATTTTACTAATATGTAATATACTGGCTGGGTGTCCTGTGATTATCATAGCCATAAGTAGTGAGGTCACTTTTTGTAAGACCGCCATCTTGGTGAAGTAAATTATTCTTGTTGTCACACATCTGTTGTACTTTACTGCTTTATTACAATTAGATCAAGGAGCGTACTTACCACAACCAGAACACCCCTTCCGTAGGTAGGGAGTTAAGTACAACTGAACAATGTGATAGGACTTGCCGCAAACTTCTTTCTGTTGCAAATTATGATAACACATGTCGTGCTCATAACAGCACCTGCAAAAAGAATTAGTAAACAACATTCTGAAAAAAAGACCCCCTGGTCGCAATTTGAGAAACACTTATTGCTGGTTTTCACTGTCAAGCCATTAAAACCGTTTACTAACTGAAGTCCAGTATGTGAGAAATAGAAGAAGGTAAGTATGCAAAGACCCTCGTCAAGATTCAGGTTAGTGCAATTTCCATATGCAGGATATTGGAAGAAATGATTTACCGAAATTTATAGAGCTTTGTAAGGAGACGTCATGTTGGTGCCCATCGGGATGGATACCAACATGACGCCAGGAAACCAACAGAAGTATCTGTCGATGAGTTTTGCTACTAAAGCGGGAATTCATCTCTACAGGAACTCATAAACACTGAAGTATTACTTTTTCTAATACAATGACTATTAACACAGCATAACATCTCCCAAATAGGTCACTTTTTCAACCTACCGTGACAGCTTTCTCGCCCACCATGTAAATTTCGCTTCACGCAAAAGCTTAGAAATTCAAGCATATCTCTGTCACAAAACGAGGAACCCTTTCGAAAAAAAAATTGTATATATTTTATCTTTTAGCTGCTCTAATAATTTATGAAGGTAAAAACTCAGGAGGATTGATCAATCAATTTCGATTACGTAATGTGAAAACCGTGAACACGAATGCCATCCTCTCCCCTTACCTGTTAAAGCCCGCGTAAATAAGGGTTATAGGATTGTATGTATATGTTATCAACAAAGTGCAAGGACCTTACTGGTAGAATTTTGTCCCAATGTAAGGTCTTGACAGAACAGACCAACCCCAGCGAGGTCCTTACAAGGAAAAGGGGGGGTGGATATTTTCCCTGAACGGTCTTGAGAAAGCTTCATTACAGGAGATTTATTACACGACTGAAAAATTAATTAGTAGATTTTCACAAGATAACAATTACTCAACACAGTTAACTGTATACGAAAAACGTAAAGATAAATTATCTCGCGATTATAGCTTTGAGGCCATCCGATACTTCAGTAGGAAAAGTTTTTATTAGGTTTGTTTCATAAACCTGTAAACCTGTTGAAGTACATAATATAAAATGTGAGGATTTTGCCAGGTAAGATTTTTTGTAAGCTATAACTAACTTTTTTTAATCACAGCTGCTTGACATTATCCGTTGTGTCTTTGAAAACATTTTTTTATATATAACCTTTTCTTTTTGAGGGCAAATTCTTCGGAGCACATCAAATCTGTTCTCAATCTTGATTGCACGGGTCAGGGGCACCCGACGATAACGTAGTTCAAAACCGGCTTAAACATAACATTGTTAAAAGTATCTTAGTATTTAAACTGTAGACATAGACATATTTTTATCCCTTAAAAATTTTTCATCTGTTCGGATTTCCTAGCTGAAAGTCTAGCGATCCGAAAATTATAGATATGAAAACTTGCCTTTTCGAAATTTTCAGCCGGAAAAAAGGCTCCAGAAAATTCTAGGTGACATTTAAAATCCGTTAAAAATGTGCAATTAGGCAATTGCAACATTTTTTAGATGATCAAAAATGCTAGGAGAGGCAGGCAAGGAAAAAATTTTACAACAAATGTTCCGAAAATTCTAGATCTCAAATCGTCTTCCGAACAGACATTTCGGAAAATTGACGTTGGGTGCCCCTAACGGGTTTGAGCGGAATCATTCGAGACAATTGCTTGATGCCGCAGGTCCAATACTTTGGAAATGTTAGACCCCCATTACAGCAATATAAAAGTATGATTTTAGTCATTAGCCGTCTATTTTAGTTGTGTAAAAAGATGTATTTATTACATGTCATCTCCACCTCTAAATGATAGCCTTATTGTAGAGGCAAAATACGACTGCAATCGGGGTCTGGATTGGTATTCTCGAGATCCGGGATTTGACCGAAATAAATTGCAGGATACGGGATTTGACCGCTACCCAGGAAGCGGGATTCGCCAAACTCTTGGAACCGAATAAGGTATTGGGAAATACAACGGTATTCGGAATAGAGACGACAGAAGTTCGAACGGAACTGCAGGGCTAGGAGCGCCCCCCCCCACCCTTACAGACCTCGTGTATTATGACATGGGTATTTACCAGTCAATCTCGTCCACGGGTGTTCCCTCTCCTCCTTGTCCGCAATAACACCCGTAACCATTGTACTCGAGAGCATTTCGTTTCGTTTCACACAGAACCATAAGCCCAAACGTTAGAACACCTCTTTTGGACGTCCGTGTCTGGGGAATACCTGTAATAGAATTAAAGTGATTGTGTCACTGTAATTGCTTCTCTTTTCCTTTCTTAATATAAATACCTTTTCAATACACATTTGAGAATTGTGAGCCACACCAATTTTTAGTTGACCCGAGTTGACCCAGCCGGACGAGGCAAAGTAAGAGTCTTTATTCATAGTTGGATAGTCACAACATACGTGTGCCTTTACATACATGACAATGCAATCTATTTAAAATCAAGTACAATTAAATAAAATTAAAAAGACACCTATTAATAAAAGATCTCTTAAAGCGTTCTGTTTTAACAGAAAGGTAAAATAAAATCATGTCCTCTGTTTCGCCAAAATCCCTGTTTCTTAGGGGGTAATAGTTGGCAAAGGGGATGGGAAGGAGTTTCCGTGATAGTGTTCCATAGCTTACAGTCTCGATTTCTGACAACTTCAGCTATTGCATAAAGGTTATTGGTGTATCCGAATCTGAACGCACGCTCAAAAAACAGGTCAATGCGATCAAGGTATTTACCTTGATATGCTGCTCCCCAAATCTCAATTCCGTAAAAAACAGGGACATAATTAAAAGATCAAATAATTTTGTCAGTTGTTCTTTAGGGTATCCAAAATATTTACAGAAACGTAAAATGTACAAAAGACTGCTAGCTTTGCGTAACAAATTGTCAACATGAAGGTCCCAGTCCGATGGATTCTCCTGGAAAAAAGTGTTTATATGGAGAAACGTCAGCCCAGCTAGCAGGATGCCCTACCATCGAAAAAGGGTAACTGTTGGGTTACTCTTCTAGCCGAGCCAAGTTTTATTTCTCGTGTAAATGGTTCGCTGCGCTTGTGAGGAAGCGTACGAAACGTTGGCTGATCCAGGGTAGCTGGAGTGAGAGAGTGACTCTTCTATCCAGGACAGAAGTTACAAACTGAGGCCCGAAGGGCCGAAAAAAATATATTTTTAATAGACCGCCCCCTCCAGTATCTCAGGGTCATCTCAGGGTCTAGGTGACCCCCACACCCCCCCCCCCCCTCCCCCCCCCACCAGGCACCCCACCAAACCCCTACACATCTCACAAATCTACATCAAAACCAAAATACAAACACAATTATACAAACACAA